CGCCATGGCGCGCTCGCTCAACTCCATCGTGGCCGTGAGCCAGAACATGGGCATCGGAAAGGACGGGCGGCTGCCCTGGCCGCCCCTCAGGTACGGCCGCGCCGCCGCCGGGCGAAAGTGAGGGCGGACGGACTACAGCTTCCGGCGTGCTCTGCGCCGCACCATTGCCGCCGGGCGCTGCGGAGCCGCGCGGGGTGCGCCGGGAGTTGTAGTCCTTGAGGGCGATGCTCGGCGAGGCGGGAAAGCGCGGCGATGGCGGGATGGCGAGGTTGGGGTTTCGGGTGGGTTCGCCTTCACGCCATGGCGTGGGTTGTCCCTCCTGCAACCGAGGACAAAGGTCCCGCCTCGGCCATGGCATCGGACCAGGCTCTGTCTAGCCGCTCCTCCCCGGGCACCGTCAGCACCCGCTTTATGTTTGGGGGTTTTTCTTTCTTTTTTTTTTTTCTTTTTTTTAGTTAGAGAAATTGCCAAAAAATATTAGAAATTAGAGACCTCATTCTTAAACCACATTGTAACGCTCTTCGTGTTTTCTTGCCAGGAATGAGTACAAGTACTTCCAGAGAATGACTACCACGTGTCATGTGGAAGGTAACGTGGAACTGTGTGTAGTGTCAGGCACGGAAAACTGGGGATTTTACATTTCCCTGGATTACTAGCCTTTTTTCTGCACACAGCCTGCCCTCCCAAGCCTCCTCTGTACTTCATCCCTTTTGAAATCGTTGGGGTCAGATGAAGATATGAGATGATTCAGATGTTTTGGGGATGCAGGTGATCTGTTAATGAAAAGGATTCCCAAGTCCTGTTTCCCCAAAAGAGTAGAAAACTTCACCTGAAGTTTACCTAAAACATCTTTCCCTGAAACTCCATGTTAAAAATTGAAAGGTTTTCACATGCTGATTAACTAGCAGAGATGGTTTGGTTTTTTCAGGCTGTTTTAGCTTATCTAACTTGTTTGCTGTAGCTCAGCCTTGGTCATTTATTCCAAACCTCTGACCCTTCTGATGTAATTTTGCTTGGTTTTCTGAGTGCTGAGCCATCCCCATATGCCAGAATACCGTAACCCTGCTGATAATACACAGCAGCTATACTGCAAACATTTCCCAACGTGGTCACTTCTTCCTATGTTTTTTTTTTTTCATGCTCCTGTTAAAACTCCTGGTCAGCCTAATATGTTCCCTTGTTCTGATTAGGTGACCTATTCCATTTTCTGACTTAAAGGTCTGTTCCATAATCCACAAGGAATTTTTCAACAGTCTTAAGGAAGGATTTTATTTGTGTTTTGGAGACCTCATTCATCCCATTGCAACTTTTGAAAAAAAGAAGAACACAATTTTAAGTCTTTTTAGATGTCTGCAAGTTGAATCTTATCTGGCACAAATAACCTGTGATCAAAAAAAAATGTTTAAAATACAATTAAAAAGATAAATTTTGCTCCATCCTGCCTGCAGATCTTTTGATAAGTTGTGACCTTAGATGTTAGGTAGGTAAGTTGCTTCATGACCAGGGTTCTTAACAGATTATGCTGCCATAAATCTTCACAGCAGGGATGTCACCACTGACTCTTGACTCTCAACCTCTGTGTTTATTTTTCTGACAACTCCATTTTCTCATAAAGAGAAACCTTTCTCTTCTTAGGACTGTGTATATAAGAGGTAATCTTATAAAAAAAGGTGTGTATATGAGGTTATGAATGCTTGGGTTTGGTCAGAAATTATAGGTGAATTTTTAGAATGTGATTGAACACCTGATGCCCTTCAGCTTTAGATTTAATTTTTCTGGTTCTTCTAGAAAATATTATGAGTTTATATGAGACTGCATTGGTGTCAGCTGACTGGCAATGCTTTGAGGCCACAAACATGTGACTGATTAGTGAACTGGGGCCTAAGCTTGTGCTTTTGTTAACTGCTGACGTGGAGTTTAGAAGGGGAAGTCCAGCATTGTCACTAAACAGTAAACTTAAGTAAATGTTTCCTCTCATACTCAGGTAAACAGAATGCACTGATAATGGGTAAAAAAACCTGGTTCTCCATTCCTGAGAAGAGCCGTCCTCTAAAAGACAGAATTAATATTGTGCTCAGCAGGGAGCTCAAGTAAGTATGATGAATAATAGGCCTATAAAACAAATAAAAATTCTGTACCTAAAAATACCTGTAGCAAATCAACATACAGTAATTCCAAATGTATCATTTCTGGTATTTGGTTAGAAAGAATTTCTGCTCTTTGTCCTGAGTGTTATAACTACTTTACCTTTAATTTTTTTTAATTAATTTACAAGTAATCGTCATTACTTTGCATTGTAAGTACAACTTCTAGCTCTACTCACAAACCATTTGACAATTGTCCATAGTTTTTCTGACTCACGTTCAACTGCATTTCTCTAGTTCCTGCTTAGATTGGTGGCTCTTAATCCTTTTTTTGAAGCTTATTTTTATCAGGATTTGTGGATGAACTGCCCTTTTTCAGAGCTCTCATCTTGAATGCATCACCCACAGTTACGCAAATATTATTAAACAAAAGTGTCCACTTAGAGTGGTTTATTGTTTTGGAGGGTGTTGGTGGGTTTGCAGCTGATCATGTGGGTGGGCAGTGAATAGGGGCTTTTCAACTATTTTTATTGAATGAAATATTAATGTTTTGGAATTCAGGTAAAAATGTCTATATTATCTGTAATTTATTTTATTTATATATATAAAATTCCTCTGTTATGCTTTTTCTAAAATGTGTTATAAAATTTCAGATCTATAATTTATAATGCCCCTTAAGTTACAGTAAAGCTGAAATCTGATAAACGTGCAGTCAGATGAGAATTCTAACATAGATTGGCAATAACAGGCATTTCAAAACAATTACATTTAGTTGTTTGTGAATTCAGCCAAACACATTGTGTCTCTAGATTGTATTGATGATCACAATGAATTGCCTTCTAATTATTTAGTGATAAAACTTTGCTTTTTTCTAGGGAAGCCCCGAAAGGAGCACATTATCTTTCCAAAAGTCTGGATGATGCTTTAGCTCTTTTGGATTCACCAGAGCTAAAAAGTAAAGTAGACATGGTTTGGATTGTCGGGGGCACTTCAGTTTACAAGGTACATTCAGCCTACTCCTGAGTTACTTGTTCTCTCTGGTGGGATGAGAATGGCTCAAAGTCCCTATTAATTCTGCATTAGGAAGTGCAAACTGCAGTAATTCTAACAAAGCAAGTCTTGGAAAGTGGAATTTCAGCTCTCGAGTTTAAAATGCCTGTCCAAGTAACCAAATGTTGGTCTTGCCAGTGGGCCACTGCCATACAGTTGTTGTGCTTTTGAGAGCTTTATTTTAAGTATCTAAATTGCTCGTTTTTTCAACCAAAACCACGATTGCTATATTTATTTTACCGAGGGTGCTGACTGACTCTGCAAAGGATATGAAAAAAAAAGAAAAATGGTCCAGCATTTTTAGCCAGAGTATGACCCTTTTTACATGTATACAGGTGAGAAAATAGGGTTTAGAGAGAGCTGCCTGGTGATGGTGTCAGCAATAGGAGGAGATAATCATATGACGAGAGATTGCACTCACTCTGCTTTCCCATCCAACAGCCAGATGTCCCTACTGCTCCCAGTCTCTGGATTAGTAATAGAATTGTTAAGAACTGTAAAGCAATTATTTTTTTCATAGTGAAGGAAACAGTTCTACTGTCCTTTACTGTCCACTTGTTGTTAGGCACTAGGACTTCAGATGTATGATGACAGTGCTGTCAAGCTCCTAGTAGCAAATGGGGGCTGATACTATGCCTTGTATGGGGCAGGAAAATACATTTTCTGGTATTTCTTGCCTTTGCAGTTTGTGCCTTTCACAAACCTCTTCTCTGTGTCTTTGGAATGCATCTTTTACAGTAAAAAAAGTGAAGTATTTAGGTATTGCTAAAGCTGTGAGAAAAATGAAGTGCATGTATAAATAGCCTGTAAAACACCGTTGTTTCTTTACTCCTTTTTTTTAGTTTCTGTTTTATAATCACTTCTGAGTGTGGTGAAGTACACATCATGTATTTGATATTGCAAATGCGTTCAGTCTATAATCAGGTATTATTCTATAGAAGTAATCTGTCCTTCACTCTCAGTCTGCTTCCAAGCAGGGAATTTGTGGAGACAGCTTCTCTTTACAGTGGGCACAGCTGCCCAGCAAGAGCCTCTGGCAGTAGTTCTGCAGGATGCAGGTGTGAGCAGAACCATTTACCCCTTTCCTGCAACAGCCACAGGCTCATCTAGTGCTGTAGAGAGTGATTGTTTTTGCTTCTCCTTCCAGGAGCACCTGTCTTGTAGACTTATATTTTAACTATTTTTCAAGTGTCTGGCTGATATTTGGTAGAGAATAATGTAATTTTTTAAACTCTTAATCAACAATACTTAGATTATAAATTGGAAGCTTTGACCAAGAGCTTCTATTTGTGCTGATTAGTGTAAGGAAATATGTCTTAGGGTAATAGGACACCTGGTTACCCTGGACATGGAGAAGCATTGAGAGAACTGAGGATGTTCAGCCTGGAGAAGAGAAGCTCTGGGGAGACCTCAGAGCCCATTCGAGTGCCTAAAGGGGCTCCAGGAGAGCTGGAGAGGGGCTTTGGACAAGGGATGGAGGGACGGGACAAGGGAGAACGGCTTCCCACTGCCAGAGGGCAGGGTTAGATGGGATATTTGGAAGGAGTTGTTCCCTGTGAAGGTGGTGAGGCCCTGGCACAGGTTGTCCAGAGAAGCTGTGGCTGCCCTATCCCTGGAAGTGTTCAAGGCCAGATTGGATAGGGCTTGGAGCAACCTGAGATAGTGGAAGGTGTCCCTGCCCGTGGCAGGGGGTGGAACTGGATGGGCTTTAAGGTCCCTTCCAACCCAAACTGGTCTTGAATTCTGAAATTTCAGCTGTTTTCCCCCTTGCAAACATCTGCTCAGGATATTTCAAAGGAAATATTAATTCATTAGAGAGAAATCTTAACCGTTTTATACAGATTCCTGCATTCAAACTAGGCTTGTGATCTTAACTAGAAGAGTTTGATGGAAAACACACACCTCTACCAAAACTGCAGGTCATTTTTGTAGTGCCTGTATTAAAGATGCATAAAGGGTTTCACAAGAGTATTTCCATTATACTATGTACAAATGTGTGGGAAGTAAAATAACAATTGGTAATTGAAGTGAATAATTTTATTTGGTAGTTACAGGTATTTGGGTTTAAAGCATTATTTTTATCTTACTGCTTTGTGCGGCTCAAAGGTTTAGAACTGATTGTGTTTATTAGTATGAGCCTTGTCCATATAAAGGGCTACCCCATTTTGGTTATTCAAGCTGTTATAGGATTTTCTTACAGGAAAACGGGTCTATTCATCATTTCTGCTGTCAAACAGAAGGATGTTCACATGAGATCTTCTTGCTGTCCTTTTAGATCAAGGCAAGGACATGCAGTTGGTACAATCACTAGTTCCAAGGGGAAGGTGCCTCCAGGCTCCTCTGTTGCAGCTCTCTGTCTGATCCTGTGGGCAAGGAATATGCACAGCACCGGCCTAGTGTGTTCAGGATAGTTGTTCTGTGGATTGCTAACTCCTTAGTGCACAGACATCTATGAGTTCGCTACGGAAGGGAGCACACCCCTGGCACTTAACTTTGGGGTGGGCTGCTTTGGCAGCCTGTCAGGGGCTGATATGGATGTTGAAGGATGAGTAGGAACATGGGGGGATTCTTGGAGTCCTCACTGGGGATGCTCTGCCCTGGTTGGTCTGTGATCCTTGGCACAGTGAGCTTAGGCTGGTGACATCCCATTGAGTCTGGAGACATCCCACTGGGTCTGATGGTGACATCCCACTGGTGTGGGATTCTGGGGAATGAGGAGTAGATGCGAAACATACTTGAATATGAGGGTGCACAACTGAGGACATCTGTCAAGAGCTACAGCAGCAGCAGCCGCCATTGCCAGACAAGAGGGTGGCTTATTGCCCTGTGGAGCCTTTTAACACAGCTCCCAACCTTAGCACCTTCTGATCAGTTTGGCTTGGGGAGGTCCCCTGTGGCCAGGGCTGTTGTCCCCCAGCTCCCAGGAGCAATCCTGCCAGCCTCGTTTCTGTAGATGGTGTGAGCAGGGAACGTGAACATGATCTTCCAGGCCTCTGCTGCCTTTGTTTTCCCACACCCTTAGTGTGGGTCATTCAGGATATCTGAGCACCTGCCTCACCTGAAACAGTGCATCCCCTCTGTGCCTCGTGCTCAGCCCAAACACCTTCACACTGAAACACCAGCCTGACCTGACCTCACCCAGGGAGTTGTGCCAGGTCAGCACCCACCCAACTGCAGGGTGAGGGCAGTACTGATGCCTCCAGGGAAGCCTTTGGACTACTCACAGCACAGGTTTACAAGCTTAATTTCTTTGGATCTTAGCATGGTGACACACTCTGTGGATCCTCTGCACTGCTTGGGATCTCCTGAGTTCCAGGAGTTGAGGTTGCTGTTGGTTGTGTGGGTGTGGAAGGAGGAGCGGAACAGCCCAGCAGTGGTCAGTAGGTTACAGCAATTACGAAGCTGTTCTGTGTAATGACAGGCACTTCATGATTTTGTGCAAGCACTTCATGTTTGAGGGCTGTCTGCTGACCTGTGAGTGCTTCTTGTGTGCTGGAAGTGGCTCACTCATAGGTCCTGGCTCTGGAGTCCCTGGTAGCTGTTAGAGCTTGTCAGACATATCCCTGGAGCACATTTCCTGGCTTGGTTTCATCCCCAAGAAATTTAGTTCATGAATGTCAAAACTGTTCCCAAGTACAACTCAGGCTTGATGAGTGGGAGCAATCAGAAGATTCAGTAACAGTTGGACTCAGTGGTCTTGGAGGTCTTTTCCAACCTCTGTGATTCTACAGTTTTGTGATTTCAAATCTTCTTCTGAGTTCAGACACTGATGCTCTCTGTGTGGAGGTACTGTCTCCTGATTGAGCGGTTGTCATGGTTTGAGAGCCCTAAAATCTAATTCCCTAGTCCAAACCCCCTCCCACATCTCAACCCAGTGTGAGATGGTTTCCAGACACTACACGAGACTCAGAATGGGGGAAAGGGAATACATTACAATGACTGTACAAAATAAATACTACAATACATTATATACAATTTTAATTATCTCTACCATGACATAAGTATTTACAATGGATCAAATCTCTTCTCCCCTCCAAATAAAAGTCCAGGAGGGAAGAAAGAAAGATCCCTTTCCACTTTCAGAGCAGCAATGTCTCTAGGGCAGCAGGTCTATCTGTTTCACTCTTCTTCTCATGCAGCAGCTGTAACTGGATCTCTGCCAGTACTCACGAGGGGGTATCCAAGCCCCTCGGCCACTTGTCTTCAAGCGAGGGTCTTCTCTTCCATGGGCTGTGTTTCCCAGGACAAGGGTGCTATCACCACGTCATATCACGAAGCGCAGGGGTCTTCATGATGGTCCTTTTCAAATTCCCCTTCGCAGAGCTCTGTGCTCTGTCTCAAGGAAGGGGGGGGGGGCAAGGTCACCCTCTCTGCATTCCTTCTGAGCTTTACAGCTCTTTTCTGCAGTGCTGCTGCAGTTTTAGGACTTCTGTTCAGTAGGAGTCCATCCTTTCCACTTAGGAAAGGTCACAAAAGGAGTTTGGGGGTTTTTTGGTTTAGTTCTTACCCCAAAAACTCTGTCTGTAGAGCTAGTTCTGCTCTCTCTCTGCTGCTGCTGGCTCTCTCTCTCGGCTCTCTTCAGACAGCTCTGTGTCTTCCTTGTCTACATGCTGTTTGCTGCTTCTTATCTTCTGCTGGCTCTCTGCCACGGTTTCTCTGGTCAGTGCTGGTCTGCCGCTGCTTTCAGTATCTCTTGCTGCTGCTCATGGTGGAGAAGCTCCTTCAGCTCTCAGCTACAGAACCTGGCCCAGTTTAACACTGTTCCAAGTTCCTGCAGCCTCCCTGCCGGGGGCTGGGGGGGGCCCAGAGGCCCCAAGGGGCTCCGAGCCCCTTCCTCGTGGCTTTCACAACATGAACTACTTCTGCAACCAACAACAACTACCTTCTCTTCCGTTCTGCTTGTGATATATTTATTTGCAGAAACACTCATTGGGTAAAACCTCAAAACCTCAAGGGTCACCACCCCCTGGGGTTTTACCATTTTATAACTTGAGGAGGAAAACTGTTTCCCCCCACCACAGAGGCTCAGGTCTTGGCTTTGACTCTGAAAAACAGTGCTAAGGGACATCCTAAGGGAGTCATAGAATCACAGAGTGGTTTAGGTTGGAAGGCACTTTAAACACCGTCTTATTCCAAACCTTCTGCCGTGGGCAGGGACACTTTCCATTAGACCAGGTTGCTCAGAGACTGCTCAGTTATATCAGTTTCTTTTAACTAGATTTAAACTATGTAGTTTAGACTGATTAGAAACAACACTCAGGCTTTACTAGGCTGTTCCTAGGAATAGGATCTATGAGTCCAGCACATTACCACATATTAAATACAGTCGTCTTAAAAGGAAGAATAAACAACACACACAGGTGTTGATTTACTTATGTTGGTATGGTCTTATGATATGGTGTTTGTAGAATGAGTACATCAACATTCCATCAGCTCAGCACTATTCATCCTCTGCCTTCTCTTCAGTCCTGAGAAAAGGAATGTATGGAGTGGGCTGGACAGGGCAAGAGTGAATTGAATGTCACTGAGGAACTACTTTAATCCCCGTGGAAATGACAGAGTTGTGATAAAGCTCCTTTGCCATCCTGCCAGGTCCATGGCAGTAGTTGGCAGAGGTAGTGTCAGAGTCCAGTCGTTGCCAAACAGGCTCATGTATAGGCTCCACACGTATAAGGCTTCCTGTTTGATCCAAAATTTACTTATCTGAAGATACTGTGAAAGAACATGGAGGACCAGGTGCTCCCAAAGGAGCTGAAACCCAGGGGCAGTAACTGGGATGACAGAGGACACATCAGCTAGGGCTGGAGGTGGTGAGAAAGGTCCATGGGGCAGAATCAGGCCCCATGGAGGTTACCAGAGTCAGGCACAGCCCTGGAGTGACCAGACAGGGCCATGGGCACAGGCCAAGGTCAGGTCAGAATGTCAGCCTATATGTGATTCAAGTGCTTATTTAAATCCCAATATAGGGAAAATTGTGAAATGGAAAGTGGAGTCACTTTACAGTGTGTTTCTCCTTGCCCACTGCACTGTCTCTGCCATGACACTGGGCATTCCCACTTGCTGAGGAGAAACATATGGGTTATAACCACCTCAAGTCCCTTGCTTTTTCCCAAGTTCTTCTCTGTTTGTTGTTTACTATTTGTGGGCCACCTCCACACAGACTCCAGAGCTAGTCTGGTAACTGAGGAAGCATTTGCACTTCTTTTATTAATGAGCGGATGGTTACACAGCTGGTTGGTTCACTCATCTAATGAAACCATTTACCTGGAACAGAGGTCACCATCTGGTCCCTTTGGACTAAATTCAGTTCTCTTTGCAACATCTATGATCAGTGTGCTCTTCCCTGGCCTGTCCTGGTGGTAGAGAGTTCTTGCTGAAGCTGACTTCCCAGAGCTGGATAGGACATCAATTTATTCTCCTACTACAGAATAGAAGTATCTCCCTTTGCAAAAAACAGTATGTTTTTATTTGTGGAGCAGATTATTATTCTTCTCTCATTTTGCAGGTGTATGTTTCTTTTCTTACCTGCCACACTTACTTAAACAAATAAAAATACTGGTATTTATGTAGAAGCTGGACCAATACCAGTTCAGTGCTGTTGGATGCTGGTGTGTTGTGAGTTACCCCTTCCATTTTTACCTGTTGTCTAGTAATCAGGCAGCTTTTCTAGAAATTAACCTCTCAGCAGTGGCAACAATTACTTTTATTGTATTCCATTTGCTATGGCTTGGTTCCTGTTCTTGCTGAAGTAGTACCTAATAGCCTGCTGCATGGTGAGTCACCTTCCACAAAGAGCATTGCTCGTTGCCAGTTTAAGGGAAAGGGAGGAATGGCTGCAAGCTTTTCAAAAATATATTGTAACCACCATCACCAGTGTAGCTTTTAATAGGTTAGTTTAATGCCACAAGGTATGGGGAGAGGTGTCTTTCCAACCTTATCTGGAGACAAAATATCTCAAACTTTTGACTCCTGAAGTTTTTAGTGACAAACTCACCTAACAAGTGTCATTTTAAACTTTTTCGTCCAAGGAGCTTGGAAATGTTGTTAAAAACTTTCAATGCATTTTATCACTTTTCCACAATCCAGAGATCGAACTTTGAAGTTCTGTTGATAGGCAGGTTTGATCTCTGGAATTGCAAACTAGTGCAGACTAAAAATACACTGCAGATCCTTAGTGTTGATATTAATTAAACATCAGAACAAACGACCTTGAGGTGAGGGCATCTCCCACCACCTTCCTGTTTCTCAGAGAGGTGTGATTCAGAAATTGCTTGTTGCAACTAGGCCACACTGTTCCTTTCTCCTCACAGGGCTATTCAATTTTTTTTCTTAATTTCTATCAGATAACCCAAATTCAGAGTAGGTATTACTGCCACTTACCAGGTGGAACAGACACAAGGTGAAATTAGCCCTTTAGAAAGTGCTCTTGAGCAGAGTCTAAAAGAGGAGATTTAGAGTGTAATTTTTTCCCTGCTTTGCTAAAATCCTGTGGTGCATAAAATAGTGACTGAGTTTCTATTGTTTTTAAAGGCAGCAATGGAGAAACCAATTCATCATCGATTGTTTGTGACAAGAATCTTGAAGGAATTTGAAAGTGACACATTTTTTCCAGAAATTAACTATAAAGACTACAGACTTCTCACAGAGTAAGTATCAAATTGCCTACGAGGCTTGTCTTCAGATTAACCTAGTTTGCATGTGCAAGGGTCCTATTAAGGCCATTTTTGGTTTGAGTTAGAGGTGATTTTTTTCCCCAGTATCATACTTTGCTTACAAGCTGGAGTTGCACCATGCTCTGCAGAGGTTCTTGGAACTCACTGTGTTCTTCAGCCTTCCCATAATCTTTACAATAAAGAATTACATGTGTCAGTTTGCTTCAAAAAAAAAGTACCTTTCTTGCTGTTTCTGTATTTAGAATTACTCAAATATTTACTAAGCTTTGTAACTCTCTGTGTGTTGTGAATAAAAAATACTTGGCCTCTGAAAGTCTTTGATAAACTGCCAAAGACAAATGAAATGGTTTTCAGTAGAGAGAGTTGAGCTTTATAGATTTCTAAGATTATTCCTTTTCTCTTGACAAAATTACTTATTCCTAACAAACGTAGTAGGGAAAGGCATCAAACCATGAGTTTGTGCCATTCACTGTGGTTTCTTCTATATTATCGTTGTCATATCCAGTCATGCTTTTATGTCCTCTCCAGCAAGACTACATCCAATAGGCAGTAAGGAGGCAGCAAAAATTTGGACACCTGCCTCAAGAGCCAGGGACAACAGGACCTGTTCCTCCTCCTTCTATAGTTTTGGCTCCCAGCTGGTTACAGACCAGCAGTGGAAGAAACCTGAAGTGTGGAGAGTGACGGTCTCTTCAGAGGGCCCAGGAGTGGATTAGCACAGCACTGAGGGAGCTAGGGAGGAGGGATGCAGGAGAGGCAAACAAGGTGATGGGTGAGGAGGATGAGTCACCACCTGCAACTCCAACATATTCTGAGCTGCTCTGCATTCACTTCCGTGTCCTGAGGCCTGACCCAAAGCTCCCTCTCTCCCTCGTGGCTGTTCCTCGGGTGTACATTGGTTTTGCCAGTGAACTGAAATCAAAGTTTGGCCTTGCAACATGAATTTATAAAGTATGAGGTAATCTCCTCACTAAAGTGGAAACCTGACACCATCACACCTAGCAAATAAAATTTAAAGTGTACTTCTCCCTCAGAGTCAATATTACTCATACAAAATCCTTGTTCTCTCACAGGAAGATGAAAAGATTTTTGAAAGTGTCTGTTAATAAAAACTGGTTTAGAAAATCTGGTATATAGAGGAACACTTTGTGTTGTAGCAGTCAGCTGCTTTAAGAATCTGTTGCAGACTTTTAAGAAACCTTGTCCTTAACATTTCTTCTAAACCATCTGAGGAAAAGCAAAGCAAAAAAAAACCCCAAAGTGTTCTGTACCTTGGCAGACATTTTGAATAACCTGTTGGAGACTTTAATAAAATGTTGGGAATTTTTTGATTAAGCCAAAAATGGGGGGACTGTTTTGCACCAGAGTATGCTTTCTTGATATAAAAGATGTGTGTACACATTGCAGATAGTATTAATATGATTCTTAAAAACAGTTTTTATGTAGTATACCTGTTCTAAGCACAGTATTTTCATTTCCTTTTCCAAACAACTCGCTTTTCTAGTTGATTGGATAAATTACAGGTGAATCATCATGACATTTTTATCTACTTTTTGGCTTGTGCTTTTTCCTCTCCTCTCTCCCCAGGTACCCAGGTGTCCCTGCTGATATCCAGGAAGAGAATGGGATCCAGTACAAATTTGAAGTATACGAAAAAACTGTTGTGGCAAAGTAAATGAGGCATTCTGTACTTCTGTGTAAGGGGAGGCATTTTAGATCCTGAAGTCTTACTGAGTGTACATATACATTAAATTTTTAAGAGCAAATCGTGCCAGATAGTACAACAGCTTGGTAGTGAATGATTCCAAAAAACACACCCCACACTCTGTACACCCTGCACTGGAAATAGAAGGGTGGTCTGCAGCATGAAGAGGTAGGTCTGAGCAATTCCATAACAAAGGTTGCATGAGACCTTGCATTGATCTGTCAATCCATGGCAGTATCTCTGACACTTCCCTAATGAAAGGCATTAGACTGTGTCAGAGCATTTCTACTGAAACCAAGGGTTTGAGTAGCTCGTGGTTCAAAATGTCCAGTCAATCCTCCCGAGTTTGACTGGGGTGTTGTGTAGCTTTATAGCAGTCTTTGAAGTTTGTTGGTGTAGAGGGAAAGATAACCAAGCCCAACAAGAGAAAGGGAGCCTGGAAGTCTCAGGCAGCTGTTCAGGGATGCACTGATCCTTCTTACCGCTCCAGTGTGGGTCCCCACAGGGTCCCCAGTTCTGCCACCAAACCTGCTGCAGTGTGGGCTCCTCTCTCCATGGGACCACAGGTCCTGCCGGGAGCCTGCTCCAGCAGGGCTTCCCACAGGATCAGAACTTCCTTCGGGAATCCCCTGCTCTGATGTGGGGTCCTTCAGGGCTGCAGGAGCGTCACAGCACCCCCATGGGCCCCCGGGGGCTATAGGGGCACAGCTGCCTCACCACAGGCTGCAGGGTAACTTCCGCTCTGACTCCTGGAGCACCTCCTGTCCCTCCTGCTGCACCGACCTGGGGCTCTACGGGGCTGCTCTTCTCTCACATTCTCACTCCTCTTGCGATTGCTGTTGTTCCCTGCAGGCTTTTCCCTACCTTCTTAACTTACCCCAGAGGTGCTACCCCCATGGCTGATGGGCTCAGCCTTGACCAGCCGCAGGGCTGCCTCGGAGCCCGTTGTACATGGGGGAAGCTTCCAGCAGCTCCTCACAGAAGCCACCCCTGCAGCCCCCTGGGACCAAAACCTGGCCACACAAACCCAGTATAGTCTGATAAAGAGGTTTTAACGTGTTGCTCACTTCACACCTGTGAGGAGGCTTTGCTCCTCTCATAAAAAGTTGCTGTGCCTCTGACCGCTACCACCTCACATACACATTGATTCCTTAAACAGTCTGTGTTCCTACATCCCTGCCAATTGTTACCAGTAAAGATGCAGTTAATTTGTCACTGTGCTTTTGAATAGTCTATCTGACAAATACAGATTATAAGCAGATAGTCTAGTCCAGTTTCATCTTCATTAAATACAGCCAGTGTAATAATTTGTGCTGCTGTTCCTTTAGAATATCAGCTATGAGCACCCCCTGAATTTTTCACAGCAATTTATAACACTTAGCTGATAAAAAAGATAATTTTTGCAGCATCTGTTCTGGGTTGTCTCAGTTTTCTGTTTCCTTTGAAACTGTGAGTACTTACCATCATTGATCTTCTTGTTCCATGTGTGCTGATATTACATCGATCGATAAAAGCAAGTTTATGCTTGCATAATGCAGGAAGAAGTCTCCTGAGTTTTAAATTGACAGCACATTGTTGAAGGGGAGGAAAGAGACTGTTACCAGGGAGATGTCATGGGGGTTTTTTTTAAATATAAGTCACAGTGACCCTGGCAAGAGAATAACTTCCTGAAAGCATTTAAAACATACCAGTTATAGGTCAGTGTTGAAAGCTCTGCATAAACACTTTGCAAAGTATTGTGTTTAGGAAAACTGACATTTATTAGAAATGGAAGAAAAGACTTCATACAATGTTGGATTACGCTGTGATGCAGAGACCAACATCCATTAGAAAATTTCTGCCTAAGCACACATTGCAGGAGATACGGTTCATTTTGTAGAATGATTTTGATTGCAAAGAACTTAACCTGGATGCAAAAACAAGCCTGCTGAGAACATAAGTGGTTACTCTCGACTGTTTGTGAACTGACTTAGTCCTCTCCACACTTAACTATGTTCCTTTGTCAAATTCGACAACAAATTAAGTTAATTTGTGGTTCGTGGAAATGCAGACTTTTGAGTTTCCTACTTCAGTGTGTCTCTCTGCCAAAGAGATGCATTTCTGTTTGGTTTGGTTTTTAGTAGAAGCACTACATTTGGACAGCACTTTTTGTACCACAGCTTTTCAATACACAGATCCCAGCTGAGAAGTAGGAAAATGCATTTGACTACAGTGAAGTTTGGTCCAAAATAAGTGTGTTCACCCCACTGACAGACAGTACAAGGTGAGATGCTGATGTTTCAAGATGGACAGAGGCAGAAAGGTGTGAGTCTGTGTGCTCAGGAAGCACATACATTCTGTTTGCTGTCAGGGATTTATTTCCTGAGGATGGTTACCTGGCACCTGCTCCCTCCCCATTTATATTTCCCAAGAGAAAAATGAATATTTTATACTATGGCTTGAGGCAAAAAAAATATCCTTGGTTCCAAATACAACTTCACCATGTTTTGTTTATCTCTGTACTTCATTGATGAATGATTCCTTGAAAAGCCATAGATTCTCATTATGTCTAGTACAGGGGAAAATGTCATGTTTTTCCCCAGTTCCATGCAGCTAAGTGCAATGAATAGCATCATGAGTGACAGTATAATTACGAATCACCAAGAAAAGTCTAGTACAGGTATAATTTAATCCCCTTCATTCATGCTTTCTCGGGAGCAAACTGTTCTAAACAGATTAAAATTTTAATTTTCAAGAATAATACTAGTTTTAACGAGATAGGAAAACCAGAGGGTCTTCATAAAAGGTGAAAAACAAACCATAAATGTTTTTATTGCTTGTCTATTACTCATTATCTCTTATCTGACAGTGGGTAGTGATTTCCATTTGGCAGTAGAAAGCTGATGTTTTCAGTAGCTTTACAGCCACAGTGTATTCAAGGTCAGAACTGGGAACATTCCAACAACAAATCTCTACAATGGACAGCAATCCGTAGAAAAGAAAGGTACACTCTGAAAAATAAGTTTCCTAATTTAGCAAACAGAATACTGTTAGTATCTATGCAGAAGACTAGGGGAAAAACAGGAAGGGGAAAATTACAATGATTATCGTATTCAGGTTATCTGAGGAGAGCACCAAGAGCACTTGACATGAGATCTTAATGGGGAGCAGACAGTCATATTGTCTTCATCAGACTATGGCTAATTTCCTGAAGACTTAAACCTAAACCCAAACTAATCCTGAGTAATTTAAAAGTTAGGCTAAGAGAAGGAGACAGGAGCATAGAGAGGCAGCAGCTGATTTGGAAAGGGGAGAAGGTGAGGGGTGGGTTGTGTGTTAATCAGGGCAGAAAATGAGGTGACAGATTAGGTGAAAAGGCTTGGTTAAGTACAGAATTAGGTGATGGTTCCCTCCTTATTCAGGTGTGGATTAGCTGTCACTGCTTGCCCCGGTGGGCTACAGGAAAGAGGCCAACAAAGTCATGGTAGGCTGACCAGAAAATCTGAAAAGGCAGGTCCTGAAACAGAAGAGTGGAAACAGGAAAAGAGCTGAGAAGAGGAAATTGATGTTTCCTAGAAGGATTACATGGCTTATGGTGTTAGTTTGCCCTGTAGCTATAATTACAAAGGATACACTTTCAGAGCGCTGCGGGGTTTAGCACCAGTAGGACCCAGTGACAAAAGAAATTTGTTAGTGAAGGACTTTCAGGATTTGGGTGTTTGTGTGACTGCCTTTGTCAGCCGTACAGAAATCTTCAGCTAGAATTGCTATCCTGAAGTGCCTGCACTACATCCCAGAGCCAGAGCCCCCATTCCAGATCATCCAATGCCCTGAGGCTGGTGCTCTCCTGCTTCCCTCTGTGGACACCATGCCCTTCTAGGACTGCGTGTGGGTAAACCTGCTCTGTCCTGTGTCTTCAGTTGTGAGGACATGTTTCCTGCTGGCTCTGGGGTGATCCTGGGTTATTCTATCCTCTGTTCTCTGCAGATCATTCTATCTCCTTTCACATAACATCAAAGCAAAATCCATACAAGAAGGCTTTTGTTAGATTAATTGACATGGTTGGAAAAAAAATAGACAAGCTCTCAGGCAGAGTACTGTTCTAGTTACATTTTCAGGACTTTTTTCAAGTGATTTGGACAAGAGCCTGCATTGCAAAACTTACCTATTCATCTGCAATTAAATTGGGTGGGTTAAAGTAGGTTATCTTTTCTTGTAAGTCTTGTCTTGCTTTCTTTATCATTTAATGGTCTTGGCTACAGCTTTTGCATATCACCTTCAGTCCTCAAACTGTGGTCCTCTCCATTCTATCCCTCATCTCTTCAGCTGTCACATTGGATTGGAAATTTACAGAAATTCAGAGAATTGTGCTGATCAAGAAAAGTAGATATTTCAAATAGAGGTCTCTTAAGTATGTGCTTGTTTCCAATGAAGTGGTGGTGAAGTGTTTTTCTTGAAATGGGACCAGATGTTTGCCTAATTAAGGAAAGCTTTAGGTATAAAAACAAATATTTTGTTAAGTGATGGCTGCTGTGAAAACAAAAAAGATACAGAACTTGAGAGGGCAGGAAATGGATGGTAGGCCACTACCCATGGAACCCTACATCAATGTCTTTTCCTTCCTTGAACCAGTGCTGGTTCCTACGCAGTCTTTTTCAATAAGCAAACCATTATATACAAGCCACTGGCTATAAGTTATGTCATTGATTTAATTGAGATGGGCAGTTGCACAAAACACAGAGCATTTTAATGTTCATCCTTCCTCCAGACTCACAGTTTTCCACACAAAACCCTGCTGGGCACACTTACGTTGGTTTTGGACAGCTGTACCAGTTCATGGATTACCAGCCCTTTGCTGGAGATCCCAAACAATAGATTGGGCCACTGAATTGCACTGGAGCTTGTTCAGTTGTACTGAGGAGCACTTTAGAAGCTTTTAGGCTTTTCAATGCTATATCAGTAACTCATCAAACATGTCAAAAAAAAGCTCCTGAAAATGATTTCTTGTGAAATCATCTTGAAAGAAAGGTTCATTTTCACAAGTACAAGAAGGAACTTTTAATCGCTCTACCTCCTCTTGTTAGGCTCTGCTCAGAA